TAGGAAGGAAAAAAATGATTAAGAGAGAATTAAAGCCTAGGAAGTAAGGACATGATAAAAGCTTGCTTCAAAACTTAAATGAGTACAACTCTCTTGACTTGGATAAATTATACTCTAGGGTCCTGAAACCATTTGCATGTTTGAGTTGCATTATGACTTGGGAGTGGGTGGTAGAACAGCTAAGAATACTGGAATCACAGTCAGGAAAGCCTGGGTTCAAATCCTTCTTCTGCTCCTTACTAACAGCATGACTGTGAGCAGGTTATTTAAACTTTCTGAGCCTTAATTTACCCATCTGTAAAATGGGGATAATAATATCCTTCATAATTTCCTCATTCAGTGGTTGTGAAGTTCAAAGGAGATCATAGAAATGTCATGAGCTCTTACTCTGATGGAAAGAGTATTCAACACAAAAGATCTGAGCTCAAGCCATTGTATGCGTCACTCAACAGGTCACCTCCCACCTCCGGGCCTCCATTTGCTCACCTGTCAAATGCAGATTGGAAGACATACACTGTCCACCCAGCTAGAGAAAGTTTTGTAAAAATCAAAGGGCTAGCCATCAACAGGCATTCATTAAGTGCCTACTATGTGCCAGGCACAGGCTTAGGTGCTAGGAATATAAATACAAAGAATGGAATTTGTATTCTACTAAGAAATTGTACCATGGAACTGGAAGTAATAATAATTAGTGGTGGTAGTGGTAGTGATGGTAGTGGTGGTAGTAGTAATAGTAGTAGTAGCAGAAGTAGTAGTAGCAGAAGTAGTAGTAGTAATAGTAGTAATAGTAGTAGTGGTAGTAATAGTAGTAGTAGTCATCATCACAGGCTTGATCCCACTATTAATCAGCTAAGGAGCTTTGACTTGCCCTCTTCTCAACCTGGCTTGGTTCATCCCTTCTAGCCTGAAGGCCTCCCACTCCTGGGGGGCTCACAATATTAGTGCCAGGCTTACTTTGGACACTCAGTCTTGGCTCACTGCAGCTCACAACTCCTGAGCTCAAGGAATCCCAGTAGTCTCAGCCATCCCAGTGACAGGAATTACAGACATGTGCCACCATGCCTGACATCCTGATTTTCAAAGGAGGAGCAAATGAACCTCAGAAATTCTTAAGAGATGAGCTTTAATTCCCAGAAAAATTATCAAAGATATGATAAAGGTGATGGTTTGTGGGGACTTAGTATTAGGAGCTTAGGAAGACAGCATAGAGCCAGTAAGGAAAGTCAAATTAACCTCATTTCCTTCCATAATAGGGTTACCAGCCTGGGAGATCAGGGGAATGTGGTAGATGCTGGGTATCTGGATTTCAGCAAAGCCTTTGACAGTATCTCATGGTATTCTTATGGGCAACAGGGAGAGATGTGGACTGGATACAACCGTACTCTGGTTCATAGTGAAAAGATCATATACTGTTTTTAATATAGCAACGTCATCTTGGAGAGAAGTCCCTAGTGTGATGCCTCAAGGATCCATTCTGGGTCCTGCACCCTTTAACGTTCTTATCAATTACCTGAATGAAGGCAGAGAAAGTACATCTATCCAGTTGCCATATGACATGAAGCTGAGACAGATTAGTAATATGTAGGTTGACAGAATCAGGACTCAGACAGTCAATAAACATAACCATTTATTAAACTATATATGTGTGTATGTATATACATATATACATGTATGTGCATTTATTTACATGTATATATGCATACACAGCTATATACATACACATACTTTCAACCCTAAGATCTCTGAAGCCAACTTGTAGACTCTGGCAGCTGGAAGGGAAGTGAAAGACCTTCCAGGTGGGTGCCCAGCCCAACCCCCTGCACACAGTACACACTTAATTAATAGTTGTTGGATCAAATCATATCTAATTTCTCATTTAACAGGTAAGGAAACTGAGGCTCAAAGAGGTGGCTGGACTTGTCATAGGTCATAGGGGGCAGGGCTGGGATTAGAACCCAGGTTCTCCCACCTCACAGGCTACTTTGTTACTTTCCCTTGAGCTCTGATAACAGGAATGGAAACAAGCCACACCATTGAAGAACGAACAAATTGGGGTATGGAGGATGAAGGAGAAGGAGCTGAAGGTTCTGATATCAGTACTGCCCATCTGAGGGCTGGCAAAGAGCACAGGCAGGCTTCTGATAAAATTGCCTCTGCTTCTGCCCTCCCTTCTCTTCCATTTCTATTACCTACCATCTCCCATCCACCCCAGACTATGGCTCCTTGACCTCCATTGTTTATCAGGTCAATGTTGGTTTTAATATAAGAACTTCCTAACAATTATAGCTGTCTAAAACTAGGAAGGGAATGCCTTATGAAGTAGGGAGCTCCCTGTCACTGGAAGTATTTAAGCAGAGGCTGGATAAGCCCCATGAAAAATGCTGCCACTTCCATGTTAGAGGTACTAACATTCTGGATCTCTGCCAAACAGTAGTGAACTGGTAGAAGACTGGTCCAGAACTCCTGAGGGGTTCTGAAAGTCAAAGACAGGCTGAACCATATGGGAGAGAACCTCCCTGAACCTCCCACCACTATCTCTCCTCTTGGTCAGGTAGCCAAAGCCTCCCTCTCTTTCTCTTCATTATCACAGTGTATCAGAGACCTTGGAAGTCAGATCCCCAGGGGACCAGGCCTTGCTTTGCCACACACTTGACCAAGCCTGGCCTCAGTTTCCTCCTTTGTAAAATCTTGTCATTAGACTATACTGTTTCTACAATCCCCTCCAGCTCTGACATTCTGATCCTCAGCCCAGACCCTAAGCTATGGAGTATTTTTAAAGGGCTTTGGAAAACTACAAGGAATATATGGGTGGATGATATATGTAACAATAAGTGTTGAAACTGGGACATCAATCCCTTTTCCTCTCTAGTCATCAAGCTCAGTAATGTTTTCACCATACGACAAAGGAAAGAGGACAGGGAAGGGGTGGGAGAAGCATGGGAAAGAATGTAGTTACAAAGGGAGTGTGTCCTATGGGGGTTGGGAGCTGTTCCTTTCAGGATAAAATGGGCTAACAGAATTGTTTCAGTTAAGAAGAGCTTTCCCCGTAAAGCTGTAGATCCCACTGTTACAGTCAAGGGCAGAGACAGAGTTATGTGACTGCTGTGAAGCACCTGGGAGGAAGAACACTCCCCCGAGATGAACCACCCCTAATATAACCATAAGTGGGAGACTGAGAGCTTAATCTAAGTTCATGTAAAATACCCGACAGACTGGGCTGAGTTGAATCTGAGAGCTCAGAGACCAACAGTACAAGCTGCTATGATGTTTTATTTGAAATAGAATTGCATATAAAAAAGAATGTACAAGAATTAACCAGAATTAGCTCATTTCATATTATACATGACAGCAGTTTTGAACAAAGGAAAATGCTCATCCATTTCTAGGAGGCAAAAGAACGTAGAGCATCCACTCGGCCTTCAAGCTTCATGGAGAAAAGTTGCTTTCATTAAAAATTAAGTTAGCCATGGAGATTCAGTTTCTTGGTGATCTGGAAGAGAGTAAGCTCTGGTTACTAGCCTGCAATCACTGACCCAGTAGCTTCCACTCCCAGCTGGGGCTTGGAAGGAGCAAATCTTATTTTTGAAAATATTGTTTTAACAATAATAATCTTTGGGTTGGAATAAAATGAGATTGGAAAGGACTGCTGGAATCTCAGCGTTGACAGGAACTCCAGTGAGTATCCAGCCCAACCTCAACTCCATACAGCCAAGGGGCTTCCAGCGGAAGGAGCTGATGGATTTGGAGTCCGAGGTTCTGGGGTTGAATCTTGGCTCTAGAACTTTCTACCAATAGGACACTGGGCAAGTCACTTCATGCCTCATGGCTCCCATTCTCTTCCGTAAAATGATCAGATTAAACTAAGTGACTTCTAATTTCCCTCTAGCTCTGGATCCTCTAATCCCAAGAAATGAAGACATAAGGAAACCCCCTCCCCCCAAAGTGAAGCTGCCTTGACCTTAACACTCACCTTCCTCCTGGGTTCAGCCAGATGCCTAGACGTCCCTCCGTCGTCTGCCAAATGCTTTAGCCCCCACATTGGTTGGCACGAAGTTGCTCTTGGCTACGCCTCCTGACCTGCTTAGGAAATCCGCCAACCGGTGGGTCACACAGGTAGCAGTGTTGCAGCCACGCTTCTGAGCAGTGACACTGATTTTCAAAAGGGAAAAGAAATGTTAGGTGTCAGCCTCTCCCAATAGGTTGCCATTTGGGGCTTGCTATGGGGAGATGCAGATACCAGAGTAGGATGAAGCCACTCACTGGCAAAACATCCCATAACGATAAGGGACTGTTTTAAACTTAGTTACCAGCACTGAAGATCATAATAAGGTCCATTAAGAAGGAAGATATTCCCTAGAGCCCCTTTGAGGCATTCATCCCATTATTTTAGGGATTCTACAGTGAAAATTTCCAAACCTTCTTTAAACCATAAGCCACATACTAAAATTCCTTTCTTCTTGCTGGCTTCTCCACAGATTCCCCTCCCTACCCGGCCAAGAACCTGCTTTCAGCAAAGACCTATGAGAACAAGAAGGGGAGCCTCTGGTGCCATTGCTCAGTCAGCTATAACAATCCGTTTCTAGTTAATTCAAACACCCTGGCACTTCTCTCCTTCGTGCACTTCCTGTAATAAACATGTACAGCTCCCCTTAACAGCCAGGAGCAAAGGAGAGTACAGGATGGTTGCACCCTTTTAGCCTCTCCAGTGACTTCCCCAGAGCCACACCCCCAGCCACATAACATAGGGAAAAGGGCTTACCTGAAGGAGTCCCAGTAACCACAGAGATTGCTGTGAGCCACCTTTCAATGAGCGCTTGCTTCCCTGCTCTACAGCTCAGACATGTCCAAAAGCTTATGGCCAAAGAGTGTGCTCAGCAACCTATGAACTCAGACTAACTCTGAGGTCCCTCATGTCTAACTCTTGATCAGACCGTGACATTTGAGGGAGAGGGGTTAAGGGAACGAGATTAAAGCAATCAACATGACAGCTGCGAGCCTTTTAAAAATGATAGTTTATTCAACACGGCTAAGCATGGAAGCTGTGCCCATCAGTACAGCCTGAAGCCAAAGGCTGATTTGTAGAATGAACCATCCTAGACAACGAGTTGTGCCCCCTGGCAGCACTTTCAGATTGATTCACTGATTAGTAAAAGTCTGACTATTTTTTTTCCTTCCTTAGCCAGACTTATTTGTGCATGACCTTTGCCCTTCCCATGTTAAAGTCTCAAACATTCTCTGTCAGCAATTGTATCTAATGAACACAGCAGAATCGGAAATCATAGTTTAAAAAAAAAATACATGCATCAAGGTAAAGACAGAAAGGAAGGAAGGAAATCAGAAAGGAAGTTAAGGAGAGAACATGGGAAAAGGCAGAAAGCCAAGCCAGTCTAGTTGCTCCCCAGGACATCCTCAGAGTTTGCATAACGGTCATTCTCCAGGTCGCTCAGCAGGTCTCGTTTCTTGCCAGGTGTTCGCGCCCCGACGTCAGTGCGCGTATAAGTGTGTAGCCTGTGCAGTTCCTGCGAGAGCTTGCCCAGCAAACAGGTACTCAGATTACTGCACCGCTTAGCTCTAGGTCTGTCCAGGCTGCAGGGAAAAAACATGCCAGAAGGTAACATGCAATGGTAACATGCATTTTCCCTTCACACTAGACTTAGACTGATTTCATGCAAAGGGCTAAGGCTGTTGGGGGGGCGGAGGGGGGCAAAAGGAAGAGGTCAGGATCGAAGGGGTTGGGAGATTTTGGAGAGAGAGAGACCATATACTCAGAGTTAGGGGAACACAGTCCGAGGGGGAAATGATGCCAGTTGGAAAAGAAAAGGGTGATCGATACACCTTGACCTAGAGCTAGCACTGCAAGTTCTCTCTAAGGCATTCAGCATGCTGGTCAGCCTATCATGCTCAGCAGGAGGCATTCATTAAAGAGGATGCAAAGAGCTCCCATGCCTCTAGCCTGGAGGATGCTGAGGAAGGAGGAAGAGAGGAACTGGAATCTGAACTCCATGCCTCTGGGCAGCATGCACCATTGCAGCAGAGAATTCCAGGAGCAACTGCCAGGCCTGACCTGCAAACATACCTGTGAAACGGCTAAATTTTAAGATCGCCCTTTCTCTGCCAAGTCCAACTCACCCTCTAGTGGCATTTTTTGATGTGTCATTAAGAGTTGCAAAGAGATAATTGGAAGCAGGTTAAAGGGGCAGGAATGGTCGGGGGACTCTTGTCAGGTCACAGTGTCCATATCCCAGACTCCATGCTGATCACACCTGAACCAGTTCCATTAGGTAAGGGAAGGAATCTCTACTCCATGGGGGTGGAAGGGGAATCTCCCACAGAAGGAGATTGCAGAACATCTAGTTCCAGTTTGTAACAACTCTCACAAACATGAAATCCTTGGGCCTGGCCTCCATCTCTCAGAGTGCAACTAGAGCCAGCTGCCTCTTACTCTACCTTCAGTAGATGCCTAGAACAGCTGGTCCCCAACCCCTGAATAACAAGGAGAGCCTAAGGCAACTTCTGGCCAGATGTATTCTTTTGTAAACATCATCATGGTAGGTTGGCTTGGAAAACAAATTAGCTCCCTTCTGTTAGCAGGAAGGAAAAGTGAAGCATCAATGTTCAGGGCTGTGGCAGGTGGAGGAGGCCACCCCCAACTGACTGGTTTTGTACTCTGCCGTGACGGTAAACCTTACCTGTTGTCCTCAGTCACCTGGTCCAGCTCATCAGCTTTCATCTGCACAAACTCTTTCACCAAAGCATTCAGCAGGTGCCGAGCTTCATCGTCGCTGAGAGACACATGGTCTGGCATGACAGATTCAAAACCAGGCCTAGGGGGAGAGGGAAACTCCTGCAATACAGGCCACTGGAGAGTACCCGCTCCCCAGGAGGGATTCTGGGGTGGGGTCACCTCTTACCTGAATGGAGCAGCCTGGAGGCTGTCCATCTGGCATACAACCAAGGCAAAGAAAGCCAGGAAGGAAGAGAGCTTTAGGAGGATCATGGCGTCCTCTCTGGAACAAGAGAGAAACAGAAACCTTTGGACTCTTGGATCAGCCCACCATCATCACCACCCCAACACTTACTTCACAGTTCACTGAAATTGAGTGGCTTCCAAATCTACTAGAAAAACATTTATTAAACTCTTATTATTTCCAAGCACTGAGATAAGTGCTGGGAAGATTAAGGCAAAAACATGATTCCTGCCCTCAAGGGGTTTATGTTCTATTGGGTTATGTTCTAAATAGAGTCCATACTAAATATGTCCATACTAGATAGGAAAGAGCAGTGAGTTGTGAGCTAGGAGACCCAGGTTCTAGTCTTTGGACATACTTTGCTGGACATACTTCAATAAGTCATCACTTCTCTAAGTCTCAGTTTCTTTGCCCTTTCCAGAATAAGAACAATAAGCCCTGCCCTTCCTACAGTCAAAAAGGTTGATCAAATGAGCTAATGGTTGTAAAAATATTTTCAAGATTGGGAAATGTTATAGGAGTGGAAAGGATTCTCATTAGTGTTAAGAAGGCACCAATCCCCTCTGGGTATCTCTCTTTGCCCTGATTGGTATGATCACTGCGAATGACCAGGCACCAAGTCACGGAGAACAGGAGGGTCCAGCAAAAGCCTTGTCAGTCTCTCCCTTTGAGACACCTCTAAAGGAATGAGGAGTAAGAAGCTGTTAATTAGCTATGAAAGAATTCCTTGCCTTTTAATGGGAAGCAGGGGTTTGCTTCTATGGACAGTTCATTCTGGTTGGTTTCAACAGGTGCCCTCAAAGGTCAACTTTATTAAAGACTTGCCCTGACTTTCTTAAATAGAAGTCTTGAATCTATCTGGCTCCAGGAATTTAAATTGGAGAGCATTGGCCCAATTAATTATGCAGCTTTCCATTTTTACTTAGGAATAAATGCTGCTAGCCCCAGGAAAATGCACAAACTGCAAATAGGTAGCATGTTATATGCCCATTTAAATAAGTTAATTCAAGCTGATTGGTGACCGTTCTGATAGTCAACATGGAACTTTTTCTTTAAGCAAGGATTTAAAAAAAAACATCTCCAGAACTTGCTAAAGTTAAGAAAATGTTTAAAGAAACATGTACTAAAAGCTCAAAGAATTGTTACTAGGCATAGCTTTCCTCCTTTTCCAAATAACATCTTTAGAATTGATTTCCAGAGACTTAGAGTTAAATTTGTTTCTGGTCAGACAATTAAGAATCATGTGAAATCATAATCAAATAATTAAGAACCAGATACCTTGGCTAGAGGTGCCTGGAAAGTCAGCTAGCTACTTGTGTTCCTAGCAAAGGTCCATGCATCTCTGTGAGACCTTCGTGATTTGGGATGCTAAATTCTCTCAGCCATCAGAAGTGGAAGCTGCTTTTTGGCTCGTTCAAATGCAATTCAATGCAAATACATTGTTATCTCAAAGCCCTTGCTCAGGCTGACTTGACATAATCCAGAATTTTTCTAAAATGAAAGCTAAAATCATTAAAGAAAGAGGGTGCCTGGGGTGGTTCTTGAACCCACAGGTAGCTCTGTAGCCGAGCCACATGTGGTGAAATACAGTCATCTTTTTAACGGCCTATCCCTTGGGGGAGAGGGGAAGAGAGAGTCTAACCCTTTTGAATTGCAGAAGCACAATAATCTTCTCCAAACAGAAAAATTGCCTGAGCATTTCTAAAGAACAACGAAGCTTTAAAAGAGAGAGAGAGAGAGAGAGAGAGAGAGAGAGAGAGAGAGAGAGAGAGAGAGAGAGAGAGAGAGAGAAAGGCAAAGTTGAACGGCAAAGCATTTTAAAAAGCACAATGTAGGTTAGTATTTATGAAAAGATGCACCTTAAATAAATAAATCTTAATTAATTAAATCTATACGTAGGCAACACACACAATTTTAGCTATGAGAAAAAAGCTATCTTACCTTGGGGAGCGAGGTTTCCTGAAGAACTGCAGCCCTGAGAGCCGAGGTGCTTCTTTCTGCCTGAGTTGAGTTTCTAATCCTGTGCTGTCCAATGCTGAAGCCTTCTTGGTTTATATCTACCGCCAGGCAGATGAGTGTAGGCGGTTGAGACGCCCTAGCCAGCCAATCAAAAGGCCTCTTGACCAAATCAACCAATCGGAGGTAGGACTTAATAGCCTAGGTGCTCAAATGACGTCAGCCTCCAGTCATTCCAGTATCCCATTCACAAAACGTGCCAGGCATCTCCCTATTTCATAGGCTTACATTTGCATTGAGATCATTGCAAAGAAAAAAAAGTGAGAGAGAAGAGGGGGAGGGGAGGAAGAGAAGAAAAACTGGGAAAGGGAAGAGCAAAACTCTAAAAGTTAATTAAAAGTAAGGGAATTGTTTGACGTCATCAGTAATGGAAAGATACACTTTCCTGGCCTCCTGAGGCAAGGTGAGGACCACATTTCTTTGAATGGGCACTTCAAGGGACAGATTAGTGTAGGTACTTAATGCAAGTGACATCTACAGCAAAACGATATGCATTGCAAGGGGATCTGCAGCTGAGGAAATGTTTGAGAGAAAGCAAATTTTAATCCCCACATCTCCTAATTCTGGCAGAGAGGCCTACCAGATATCACTAGAACTGGGCTCAGAGCAGCACACCAAAAGCCATCCTAAGGCAGCTGGAGACATTCTCAGCCTACTGGTCTCAGTGGCTCTTGTGGCTGAAAGTGTCCATGGCAGGCTAGCTAACAGTTAGGGGAAATGTAGTGGGGAGACTGCACTAGCTGACTTCCCATTCTGTGAATCTATGACACTCTTACCACCAGCAGCAGCACCACCACCATAGTAGTTGTTCTATATGGTGGTTCTTTTAACTTCCCAGGTAGCCACCATCACCTGCTGCTGTTGACTGAAGTGCTTTATTTACACCTACATTTCTCTTCCTCTTTTCATTAGTTTATTAGGAGCCTAACTGGCCTAGAGTGCAAGGAAAGAGTATTTAATGAATTTTGACTTTGGGGGACCAGGAAGTCAAGGTAAGACTCCCTAAGCCTCCGTGGGTACCATTGTCCTTTCCAGAACAGGTTGGACCCTGTGAAGGCCAGAGTTCAAAGGGAATTCAGTTTATCTAATCCAACCTCCTTCTTTTACAGATGAGTAAAAAATACAGAGAGAGTCTTGCTCAAGGTCACATTTCTAATTAGTGTCATGGCTTCAACTAGAACCCAGATCTCCTAATTCCAAGGCTCTACAGCACAACGGTACAACCTGGGCCCACACAGAGGGAGGACAGAGCAGAGGAGCACACCCTCACACAGACACCCAAAGTATTCGGGGAACCCACCCCGACTGGACTAAGTCCAAGTGGCTGTCTTCTTCTCCCACTGACCCAGAGAGGCAAGGAATCTCTGGGCCTATTGACCTAAAGCTTGCCCCACTGCCACGGCCAGCCTCTGGTTCCTCAAAGAAAGGGGAAACCTGTTCCCTTACGCTTCCAGAGTCCTCTTCCTCAGTGAGGGCTTCGAACCTCCGCATTTGGATGCGCTATTAACCTGTCGGAAAGCTGGGCTCTATCTGTACCTCTGCGGGAGTGTCCCTGTGAGCTTCGCTCCGGACTCCTGCTCTGGAGAGGGCAATCATCCCAAGAAGAAAAAGAAAATGGGAAACTAGCCTCTTGTCTAATCTGTTCTTGGGAAGCTCGGGAACCCAGAGCCGAGGGCCGATCACCCCGAATTTAAAGGGTTGAGTCGCCAGGAGTACTAGCTTTGACCTTTTGGCCAGCGGGAATCCAGCCCGCTCTCAAAGTGTTCCCTTGAATCACTCCAGCTTCCGCGGTCTCCAGCCTTGCTTTCTACCTTCCTCTGGATGGCGGCTGGGAACAAGGTAAGGCTAGTCACCGCGGGCCTGAGCCCAGGATGCCGTCGGAGCTTCCAGCTCCCTCTGCCAAACTCTGGGGTGGTGGGGTTCCTGGCATTGCTTCAGCTGTTCCCTGGACCTTCTCCCTAGTCCTTCCTCGACGCTACCCCTACCTCCCGCTCCAGCTCCAGGCTGAGAGATCTCTCTCTGCTTCATCCATCACTGTGACACAGAGCCCGAGGGCCCTGGGTTTGCACAGCTGCCGGATGCCTCGGGGGCCTCTTTGCAGAGTTGCCCAGAAGGACGAGAAGCGTTGCTTAGTCGTTTCCCTGCAACCTCCCACTGTGGTTCCCCACCAGTCCGCTGGCTAAATCGATGGACTGGCTCCATGCAAGTGTCTGCCCCTGGGAAGGGGAAGCAAAGTGATTAGAGACGGAAAGTTGTGAGGGGTTAGTAGTCCCGCTCGTGCACACACACTTTGCCGATTCTCGTCCTAGGGAAAAGCAAGTTTTCGGGGGGTCTGCCAATCTCCCTTGCATTCACTTCCGTCCCCGCCACCCTGGTCCGGAAACCTTGGATTGTCCAGTCTCAGAATTAAGTTTTGTCATCCAAGCTCTAAGGGATGGTGAGCAGACTCTTGCTCCTTTCCTAGTGCGTTCTTGGTGACTACGGCTGTGTGTGTAAACGCCCCTGGGAATATGGGTGTGTTTGGCAGTGTACGCGCGCGCCAGCGCTCTGCGCGCTCTGCGACGGTGCATCCTAGGCTCTGGCCGACTGCCGCCCTCCCAGGGCGAGCCAACCCGAAGCTTGTGAGAAGCAGGACATGGAACCGCTTGCTCGGAGATGGGGGTCCTGGGAGCTCCGAGAGCCGAGCGAGCAGCAAGAGGCGCGTCGGGTGCTGCAGCCGGAGCCGGAACGAGGGTCGGGTTAGGTGAGTTCAAGAATGAGGTCCATTGGCGAGAACTTGGGTTCTGCAAGACCTAGCCAGTGTGTGTGTGACAGAAAGAGAGCTAAAGTGACATTTTCTCGGCTTAAGCTTCCCCTCTCCTCCCGGTTGGGCTATATGCTACCATAAACACAGGGGCGTGGCGTCTGTCTCTGTCCGTTTGTCTGTGTCTGTCTTTGTCCGCCCCTGTCTATACATCTGTCTGTTTATATGTCTGTCCGTCTCTGTTTATATGGCCGTCTATCTACATCCCTGCGTATGTCTCTGCCCCGAGGTAGCTCTGCGCTGGGAACCCTTGGATGCCTGACCCGACCCTGCACTTGGCCAAGGCTGGAAGGAAAGACGGTTGGCTACTTTGCTGAAGAGGGAGATGTTCCCCAGCTGACTGAGCGGGAGGGAAAAGGGTGGAAGGGTAAGTCCGAAAGACGCCCAGGCTTCCACCCGGGCCAGAGCTGTCCCTCTGGGCCGTTAAGGAAGTCAGGGACATTTGCTCACTCAGGTCCTCTGGCCCGACCTGCGGTTTTTTCAACAGTCTTTTCCTTATCGCAAACATAGCAGGAAGTTTCTGCTTTGAAAGAACCCACTCATTCTGCCCTGGCATCCCCTCCATTCTTGGACATGGGAACCTAGATAGCTACTCTTCTGCGCATCTCCCACCCGCAACCAACAGTCCGTCCGACCTCTGACTCAGGAGCAGCCTGACCTAGGCGCAGCCCAGGCATCCCTCTCTCACCATCTCCATCACCTTCATATTGGGGCGCCCCGGACCACCCGCCTAGAAGAAAGGCCGGAAACTAGGGCACAAAGAGGGGGCCAGGGAGTGGGATAGGGTCTATCTGCAGCTCCTTAGATGATTCCAGCTGAACCTTCACACCCAGACCACCCTGAGCTATCATGCCATCAAAGAGCTGGAGACTGGAGTGGGACGAAAGTGATCCCTTCTAGGGAAGATAAAGGGATTCCTGGGAAAATGTGGGACTCCCAAATTTGGTCCTGGGGTTTTAACCACCTGGGCAAAAACCTAATCTCCCAATTCTCTGGAGTTCTGATTGACTTGTAAAAGTAGAAGCCACTCTGAGTATTTTTTTTTTTGTAAACCAAGGATGTTGTGAGGCCAAAGGCTGGGTTTTAAGGCGCCGAGTTTCAACTGGCATTGCCCACGTAGTGAGATCCGTCTGTGTCCCAGACACAACTGTCTGGACGAGTGAGGGACCTGAGTCTGATTAAGGAAGGGTTCTGAGAAGGGAACTAAGGTAAGTATCCAGGACTCTGTAGCCTAAACCAAGAATACTAGATTCCTGGAGAGCCGGACCTCCGGCAATGGGTGCAAATCGGGGGCTTAGGCAGAGGATCGAGCCTCGGGGTCTGGAAAGGATCTTAGAGGTGCATAGGACACTTCACGTCTGTGAATATGTGCTTTTTGAACTCTAAATCCGGCACTGCGGACAATAGATTGAGGTACAAAAGCAAAACCAAAAAATAATCCTTTTTAGATAAAGACATGGAGTCCAGAAGGAGTGAATAAACTGCTCAAAATCACCTGGGGCACCTAAGTGGCAGAGGTCTCTTTCCATAGACACTTTACTTTCTGCCAAATAAGACTAGACTGTAGGTTCCCAGTCTTTGGGCTCTCCTGTGTCTTAGAACCATGGTTTTAGAGCTCTAAGATACTCTGGAGATCATCTAATTAACCTCCCTTGATTTTTACAGGAAGGGAAACTGAGATCCAGAAATGGGGAATTGACTCGTTCCAAGTCCCATAGGCAGTAAGCTTTTGCCTGGACTAGAATCCACGTCTCCCAGTGAAAACACCAATCTGTGCCTTGCGTCCCTTTTGGTCCCCAGCAGCGCCTAACACGATCAATACGACTTGTTAAATGGGGGGGGGTGTTTAATTGATTTCTCAGTTCTCCTTCTCCGCTAGACCCTCCAAAGCAGACAGAGGTAGGCTCCAGTTCAGCCCTGTTCCATACTTGGGGAAAGGTGCGGGGAGCGAGATAGGGAAGAGGTGGGAAGAACCTCAAGAGACCAGTGTCTGCAAACCTAACCAGACGCACTAGACCTCCCGTGGAGCTTCTCAAGTACTAATTTCCCTAGTCTGAGATCTGAGCGGAGTTACGTAGAGCATCACCCCTGCCTTTCCTGGCCCGACGGCCCTGACAGTTCCCCTGTACCTTCTCCACAGCTTTTAGCTTGGTATGACTTCGGGGACCCCTGCTTGGTGCGGACCTTTGTCCCATTCACTGGGAGAGTCAACTTGGTTTAGAACGTGGATAGTGGTGAAGTTGACATCAGGAAGACCCAGAAAGACAAGTCCATTTACTAGTTGTTTGAACGCAGGCTAGTCTCCTAACCTCTCGGAACCTCAGTTTCCTCACCTGCAAAATGAAGGGGTTTAACCATATGACCTCTAAGGTCCCTCCACTTCCAAATCTATGATCCTATGACTTGGCTGGGAATAGGTG